GCGAATCATAAAAAGGATTGTTGTCGTTCTTTTATAAATTCTGTAATGTAAAGATTATTAATTAAATAAAGATTATATATTATTCATTAATGACGGATTGATTCTGTAATAAAAAAAAAATTAAAAAAAAACTAAAAGCTCATTATTATCCTATATAATTATTTGAATTTATAATAATTAAGGAAAATATAACAAATATTTAATCGTCAATCCATCACTGATGAAACTGTACATTGTAGAAAGTAGTTTTAGATAAGATTTTAGATGTAGAAACATAAATGTACCCTTTAGTATTTGCTGATTTTTTTTTATAATAAATACATAATTTGATTGATATTATTAAAAAAAAAAAAAAAAAACACAATATTTTGTTTATTACATAGGATTAAAAATCAAATTACGTAGACAATTATGTCTTGCACAATTTAAAAAAAACCATACTGCAAGAAACAGTTAATAAAATAAATTAGTTTTGTCATCTTTTACTCAAACAATACTAAGGGAAACATTTCATATACATTTGATAGTCCTAGTTCCTTAGAACATAGCGTAATAATTATAATGGATGTATTAGAAAATAAAATTTAAGAATATTATAAATAGAGTAAAAAAAAATAGAGTAGAAATTAATGCATACTTCTGTATAAATATATAACGATAAAAGAGAAAATAAAAAAAAAAAGAATGTGAAATTAAAATTTATGAAATGATAATATATAGAACGCAAAAAATAAGAACGCCAAGGTTATTAAAAATAGGTGAAAACTGGCAGGTATAATAAATTGAAAAAATATTTAAATATATAACTAAAAGAACGAATGTTTTATAGAATCAAACATGAGATGAAAAATTTTCTTATGTGTTCGAGTTTTTTCTAAGTCACGGATAAGAATTAAAGAAATGCCGAAACTTCGAGGACCACGAATTAACAATAATGAAACTGTTGTTTTTCTGAAACTGCAGGATTAAAAAAACTATGATACGAAAAACAGACTTGAAAGTGAAGCGTACATGCATTAAAAAAGAAATCTTTTCACATAAACTTACTTAATATAATAATATAGTTAATAAAAACTAGCTATGATACTATGATGATAAAAAATTTTCTATGTATTGATTCGTAAAATGACTATTTAACGCATAAGTGTAATACATAAATAAAAGAGGTATATATTAATTATAAATAAATAATTGAAGAAATTTATGTGAGCCAATAAATGAACTGAAATTGTTCCGTAGTGTGTTTCAATCAAACGTAAAAATATAAACTGCTAATGAACAAAAATACCTATAAAATGGTTCTAATTAAATTTTAACTACTAATAAATAATTAAATAACCAGTTCGACAATCTTTTTGCTGAAATAAAATTTCGATCGATAATTTATATGATTTAATGGGCTACTGTAACTGCTTTATGATATTGAAATTATATGTCGATAATTTACTTAAAATATTCATATTTTATGCGTACATTATTCATGTATTTTCATTACTTTTAATGAAATATCACAAAAAATAATGAAATATGGAAACAAACAACAACAAAATAAATAAATTAACTCGCCTCTTCGACAAACTTTGCAATATAAAAAGGAATAAGTAAATAATAAAGATGATTCGAATTACGGTAAAGCTATTCACTTTTATATATATGCCTATAAGAATAAAATGTATTATTTATGTAACATGTGTCGTGTAAATCTAGTCAGTGTAATGATATAAACGAATTAAGTGTAGTAAAAGATAATTAATTTAAAGTTAAATGCTCTTAAACAATTACAATGTGCAGAAAAAGAAAGCTAATTAAAGCATAATGATAAAAAAAAAGGTCAGGCTAAAAAGTTAACGAAGAACTCGTTAATTTAAATAAGAAATACATTCAAAATCTGAATAAAATAATAGTTGCAAAACAAATTTATTTTCGTGATAATAAATATATAAAAATCATTTTTTGCTTGATCTTTTTCGCGTGCGGGTCATGCAATAAATTAATAATCGACGTGCATAATTAAAAGAATTATCTATAGTTTGTAGCATAATGTAATAAATGTATATTTATATGTATATATATATATATATATATATATATATATATATATATATATATATATATATATATATATATATATATATATATATATGTATATACATATATATGTATAATTAATGTTTCGAATATTATACTATTATACAAAACCAAAAAGTACTCTACACTGCATACATATACATATAAACATATATATTTATGTGATTGTATTTATTTTATACTAAATGTATTTCTCATTGATGTATTTTTCGCGAAAGCAAGCAAATGATAAATAGATTTAACGAAGTCTTGAACGAGCAATTATGCCGGTATTATATGGTTTAGAATAAAATAAAAGAAAACTGGCAGATACAAACTTTCAAATATAATAAGAAAAGAAAGAAAGATTAATGAAATAATTGTCTTCAATGAAAATACGATAAAGAATGTGTATAGATTGTGAATTATCCGGGCTTAATATTGAGTTGAACGGATTAGAAAAGAAATGATGGAATACAATATGAAAACAAAAGATAATATTCGCGAATCTTATGTTCGCGAACGTAGGATGAGATGAGAAAAAAATATCCTGTCACCACATAGTGTATTTCGTTTTAGTGATTTATTTTTTATCGTGAACCACGGCATGTCGACATAGATTTTATAATGTTGTAATAAAAAACTTCTCTTTGTACACAACGTCTTCGACTCTTCTTTTGATATTTTCTTCCAGACATATTAAATCTTTTCAATATTAATTTTTTCATTTACCAAAAGATAATATCACCAACAACATCATATTGTGAATTTTTTTTCTATGCTTAATGATTACACGGAACTCAAATTGATCCCATTTCACAGTGCTAAAGATACGTAACACTAAACTTTTTCAATATTAATACTTGCCTTTTAATCAATATATTACACAAGCTAATTACATGGATATGATTAATTAATTAATTATATGTCCATTATATATCCCTTTAAAGTATGAATTCATAAATAAAATTTTAACGTATAAATTCTATTGCTTTATTACTAACATTCCCGTATTCTTGAAAATAACCAATCTCCTATGAATATAATTTTCATCAAGGAATTCAATTTGAGTCTCCAATAATGTCCTCGTATGTTATAGAAGTTAATATCAAACGATTTAAAAGCATATTAAAGGGCTAACTTGTCATGATACGCAACTAATTTATAATTCGCAATAAACTCGGTTGTCATTGTAGCTTTATAAAGTATAAAATACATTTCTTAATAATACGTCAATGTTATTTTAAAAAAAGAATACAAAGATTTCAAAATATTTGCCTATCTAAACAAGTAATTTTTAATATTTGTTAATTTGATATTAAAACGATTATTTTAATTTGTTAATTTAACGATAATTTTAATATGGTTAATTTGATATTAAAACGATTGATTACGCAACTAATTTATAATTCGCAATAAACTCGGTTGTCATTGTAGCTTTATAAAGTATAAAATACATTTCTTAATAATACGTCAATGTTATTTTAAAAAAAGAATACAAAGATTTCAAAATATTTGCCTATCTAAACAAGTAATTTTTAATATTTGTTAATTTGATATTAAAATCTAAAACAATATTGGGAAGTCGATTTTATCTTATATAATTTTAAAATATCTCGTATCATAGTTTACAAAACATTTATTTTAGATTTTTATCAGTTTTGCAGCCATACAAGATTGATTTAGCCAAGTATTAGCATACAGTTTTTAAATAAAATTTTTAATTAAATATTAAAACAACATAGATTTTATTCATAGATTTTATAGTTTATAAGATTTTTATAATTACAGATTTACCTTTGTAAAAATCGTGTAGATTTTTTTATAGATGTACAGCATAATGCTTTAAAAAAAAGCATGTTGCATTATTAATATTATTAGTAAATTTTAGAAATAGATAATAAAGTATAGCTTTCATCGATTATAATTAAAAAGTATATTTTTGAAATCTCTAAATGACATTTTTTCAGCTGCTCACTTCTGACGATTTCAACAAATAATAAGTGAAAATACTGCAGGTGAGCCATCTGAATTTACAAATTTTATTTAATTATTTATAAGATAAAATAAATGATAACTAAAGCATCATGTAACTCTTTTTTTAATTATATTTAAGATTTGAAAAATAGCTGAATATATATATATATATATATATATATATATATATATATATATCTTATATGCTTTTCTCTTTTAAAATACAAAATTGTAAAAATATCCAAAATGCTTCAGAAAATTTTTAATTATTACTTTAAAATGTTTCGTTTCGGCTCATGTTTAAAAAAGATATATATATATATGTAGTAAAATTTATAAGAATATACGAATAAAAATAATATCAAATAAAGAATTATTTATCAAATTAATCAGCGTTATTTTTTATAAAAGAATATTAATTACTTATGACATTATTTGTAATAATACAATCAATAGAGTGGAAAATCTCTATATTACATAAAGTCATTTTATATATCAGCTACAATATTTTAAAACTATTATGTTACTAAACACCAATATTTGAATTTTACAATTGAAATAAAATGTTAGACTCGTAAAAATTGAAAAATGTTACTATAAATAAAATGGAAATCTATTTTTTCAATTAAAAACAAAAATGTTTAAACTACCTTGATAAATAACAAATTTGAATTTTCTGTAAATGTTGATATAATCAACCGTCAATATCGAGATGTCAGTACTTTCGAGATATCACAGTCGAAAGTGCTCGATTTAGTAAATCGATATATAACGTTTTCAACGAGTAATTCGTTAATCTTACAGTTTATGGCTGTGAAATTTGCGTTCCTACTTTAGTATGTTTTAGTATATTAATTCAATCCAATTAATCTTAATTAGAGATTAATAATTGGAAATTTAATAAATTATGAGCTACAATCAATTCCTGTGATATATATATCTATTAGTAGTAATTATAATTGGCCATATTAATTTTCCAAGTAAGTTAAATTAAATTAAATATACGTTACATTAACGTACCATTGCAATATTTGACAGTGTAAACTAATATGGAGCTACTCTATGGAATTATAATTCATTAAATTGTATTAATTTAGTTTAGATTTTCTTACACAAAATGGATCCAGAATTTCTTTCAAGGCTTATTCCACAAAATAAAGATGTTCGTCCAGCTTGTAAAAAATGTGGCTACGCTGGTCATCTTACCTATCAGTGTCGAAACTTTATTAAAGTTGATCCTAATAAGGAAATAGTTTTAGATGTAAGTAGTACAAGTTCGGATAGCGATGAAAACTATATAACACCGTTGACCGAATTAAGAGAAAAGGAATTGAAACGAAAATTAAAAGATTCTAAGAAGCGAAAAAAGGAAAAAAGGAAAAAGAGGAAGAAAAAGCATCATAAGAAAGAGGAGTCGAGCGATAGTAGTGACTCGGAGAGCGAAAGTTCTTCATCGTCCTCATCGGATTCTGATTCTGAAGAAGATCATAAAAAGAAGCATAAAAAGAGAAAGAAAAAAATGAAAAACAAAAGGCATAAAAAGCATAAGAAACATTTTTCATCTGATAGCGACAGTGATACTGAAAGTGATCATAATTATCGTTCTTGTAAAAGAAAACGATAATGTATAAGATATATTTTTATTGTATAATTAAAAGTTTTAATCTAATTTTCTAAACATTTAATTTTCCAACTATTATTAATTGTATTCATTTAATATAAAATGATATTTACCATTAATAAAATAATTTTAACAAAATTTATATTTGTAATTTATCCATACTTTATTTGTTTTTACTTACATAACCGATTTAACGGTAACTTTAATTTATGCAACTTTTTTTGACATTTGCATAGACATCTTTTCCAAACAGTTCAATACAGCACCATGAATAACTTTATCTAATTTATATATTTTGTGCTTTCCTTGTATTGGATATTTTATAGGTAATTCAATAAAATTTTCAAATATAAATATATATGGACTAGATGTTTTCCTATCCGGATACAGTTCCATGTATTCTTCTTGAGATAATACATTGGTAACATTAACGCATCCAATTAAACATCCGACTGGATATGTTTTAGGAAAGTCAATTTTTTCATTATGTAAAGATTGGCACGCTTCCTCTTCAAATTTTATCTCCTCGACATCGATTTCTTTAGATGTTGAAGCGATCCATAGTCTACCTCTATGAGGTGTATACCATGTACGCTCTTCATACTTTTTAATTCCAGTAACGATTAATGAAGCATAAGGCTGATGAACACTTAAACATAATCCTGAGTCTAACATTTCTAAGTATTCTCTATCTTGTATACGATATAAATTAAAATTATTTTTTTTAACCGTTACACTTGAAGGTAACTTTGCAGTAGTAACATACGTAGCTCCTTCCAAAGACTGATACTCATTATAATGGAGCCCTTCTGGTTGAATATTAGATTCTCTCTTGTGCGGAACAGTCGTTAATCCCTCAAAATTCTTTAATAGAAAATCTTCTTGTGTCTGCTGGACCTTTCCTGTTAAATCAATTGATATTGGCTTTTGTAAACGTGATCTATGCTTTTGTTCATGAGCTTCATATGCTAACTTTTCCCATTGTTCTTGTTCACTTTTAGATAACCACTTGTTATTAGTTTGAAAATAATCACATTCATCGTCGATAACATTTGTTCGACTTGCACAATCTCTATCATATTCAAGTAACTTGTCTCTTAATTTGAGAGTTTTGCTAGAATTAATTTCAGAAATACTCTTATTTTCAATAGATCTCTTAGACTGATCATTTAATTCTTCTGTCAAATTTAAATGTAGCAGTGGTTCGTTATTATAACAAACAATATTTCCACAAAAGAAGCACGGCCCTGGTCCTTCGCTTAAACATACGATTCGTCCACAGTTAATACAATTATTTACAAGTGGATGGGTTGTAGCCTCACAATTACATGGATTTCTAATCTTCAAATCTGATAATGTAGATTTATTTTTCACATATTTTTTCGAACGATGACTTTTTGAACCACTTTTCTTTTTTTTCTCCATTTCTATCTTTCAAAATATTTGACAATATATTGCTGCAATAAAAATCATTTAATACTCATCAAATTTTAGATACAATAAAAGTATTGATTTGAATAAAGAGTAATTAAAACATCTATTATTCAGTTATTTATATTCAATTAACAATATACATGCTCGAAAAATTTTCTTAATCCTTTAGCTTTCTAGGTTACTTTATAACCAAATACTGTTAATTAATATTTTAATATTAGTTCATTATCGACATGTATGACAAGTAAAAATATACGAAATAATGTACATAAATATCTAATACTAATGTATTTCATCGCAGCTTCACATTTCAAAGAATTAAAATAAATTATACAAAGATAAAGTTATAAAGAATAACTAAAGAATTTTTAATAATTGTTAATTTATTATGTATTGTGTAGTAACATATTTACAGGATATTTAAAAATAAATTTCATTTGTATTGTGCACTAAATTTACTCTACAAATAACCAAATTCAATTTCAAATTTTCCCCATCTTCACAGTAGTCGATGAAATATTATGAGACCTATTGAGTCATTGCCAACGTTAGAATTTGAAAAGATGCAAATGCATAAGCCGGTGAAAGAGGTTGGCATACATGACTATACGTGTTAAAGATTGAATAAGCTCAAGTCCAGGAACATAACGTAACCTATTTTTTAAATAAATTCATAAATAATAAGCGGTAATAATGTTGAGGTGGAGGCAAGCAGGATTAAAGTAAATCATCTTTTAGTATTAATTAATTAAATTTTAAAAATCAATAAAACGATAAAACGATATGTCTCATTCAGTATTGTAAAAATTTTTATTTTAATGCCTATTATATAATAATTTAATTCTTACATTTTTATTGTTCTATTGAACTATATTACAGTGTTATTTTACATATTATTAAATAACAATGAGTTTCTATAATTTTAGTTACATCAATTATTCACAAATTTCTGCTAAACTTGTTCGACATGCTCTAAAAGCAGATTTGCAAGCCGATGCTGAGAAACGAGATCAAACTAATGTCAAATTTGTACAGTGGAAAGATGGAAAACCACTTAGTAAGTAGAAGTATTATATTAATTTAAATATCACATTATTAATAAGATTTATTAAAATATATATATAAATTTTTTTCTTTTTTTTTTTTTAACAAACAATCTATACATTATATAAATTATATATAACATCAAAAATTTAATCTTACAGCTCCGAAACAGTAGCTTAAACACAAAAAATGAGTTTGAGTAAGTCTATTACCAAAAGAGCATGTATTTGTATGATTTTTTATTAATTTATACTCAAAAGATTTTAATGCATAATTGTGTTTTATTAATTTTATATTAATTTTATATTAATATTATTTTTATTTATTTTTTCATTTTTATTATTTTTATTAATTTTATATTAACTTTATATTAATTGTTTTTCTAATGATTATTTTTGCAATAACAATTATTTTACATTGTAATTTTTGTGTGCATCATCTCCAATAATAAAACTAAAGATCAGCAATAAAGATAATAGTTCCACCTGTTTTTGTAAAATTATAGCTTTTATTATATAATGAAATGTATTATGAAATACAATATAATGCAATAAGTGTAATTTTCTTTATCGATTTCAATTTTAACGAAATTTAAAATAATTCAATTGATATAGCATACTGGATTTAAATTATTGTTATTTTGTTTTATAAATGTAAAATAAAATCAAATAACAAGAGAGTATGTGTTAATATACAAGAGCATTGTAAAATGAGGTAATTTGTTTATTTTAATAAAATATAAACTTTAAAAACAATAAATACAGATAACTGTATGAGAAATTATAAATTTGTTTAAATTTTACGATTGTTACTTTAAGTTATTATTTCTTTTTATTATAACAGATATTTTTAAAAAATGTGTATTTTTCTGAGTGATATTTATGTTTATAAAAGATTAATGCCAATTATAGAACAAATTATGTTCATTGTGGTGAAGTATTTTATTTGCAGTGGGCCTCGATATTTTTCGTCAGTCTTATTATAGAATTGATATAAGCACATGCATATATAAATGTATTTATATAATGTACAACAACATTTATATTATGCATGTATTAATATATACCTGTGTATTTATATACATGTGTATATTTATATTTATAAAAATGTTTTACAAATCGCTTTCATATTTTCCTGTTTCAGAATCTAACTAAATGGATGAATATTATCAAATAGAATACATCAGAAGATTCTGAAAAATTTTATTAATTGTTATGATTTTGATTTACTTGATTTTTAAATAAAAAAAAAAAAAAAAACTTAAATCAAATGTACCCACCATTTGTACTTATTTGGTCTTACAATTATAAATTAACCCTTCATTATTATCTTACACTTGAGCTTTGAGCTTTGCAATATACTGAAACAAATATAATATACGAAATGACAAAAGCAAATACTTAATATGTTGATAGAGTCAATATATTTAAGTACTTACTAATAAATTCTGATACTAAGTCATTATCACCATCTCCTCTCATAGTTCCAGTTATTTCTTCATTTTCCACCATAGGTAAAAATAATTGAACAAATTCTCCTGAATATGGATGCGCAATTGCTTCTAATACCTAGAGAAAAATGTAATACATACTATATATATATATATATATATATTTATAATTATTGTAAATTTAGTTTGTTCATAGGCAATTGGTATTGCATTGCGATTAAATTTTTAGTAGTTTTTTAAGTTAAAATTATTACCTCGGTAACAAAATACCTAATTAAGGATATATCTGTGTCTCCACGTTGCCAGCACTGTTTTATATATGAAACGACCGGTACAACGCATCCTCTACTAAGTAAATTGACCATTCTATCGATTAACATTTTTTTCATTTCTAATTGTACTAAAATTTCTAACTCATCTTGTTTACTTTCAAATAATTGTATAAAAAGTTGAAGAACCTTAGGATGTAATAAATTATGACAAGCGACAACTTCATCCAATAAAGCTAAATGAATTGGACAGTGTTCGGTACATAATTTAAAATAAGACGGTTCTGTCACTGTACACTCCACCCATCTTATTACTCCGACACTTACCACTGGGAAACTAGTAAATAATTTGTTTATATAAATTATTAACTTTGTAAAATTAAATCAAAGTATTATTAAACAATTAATTATTCGTTTAATCGATTGAAAATTAATTGAAATTTTACCGAATACATTGATACAGAGTATTTATCTCTGCTATGAGTTCTGTCGAACCTTTGTTAGTGTTACATGTATTATGAACTTTTTCAATTGCTTGAATCGTGATTTTTAAATCCTCTTTATTGACTTTTCTTTGAATACCTTTTTTTGCTTGCATTTCATAAACACTAGCTGCATAAGCTAATAAATAAATGTATTTTGACTTATGTTCAGGATTGATTTTCACTCCAGGCTTAAACAGAGCATCGACTAGAAGTTCTAAAATAAAATTCAATAATTATTAAAGAATTTTTCCAAGATTAAATTTTATATTTAAATATGACTTTCTTCACCTAAAAATTGTGGATTCCGTAGTAGTTCAGTAGGAGGTGGCTCCGACAGTGAATAATTTCTAAATAAAACTGTTATGTCTGCAGGATTTAATGTATTCCGCGATAGCATAGATGCAAGGGCTTGACAAGCTGATGGACTACCAGCTGCACCATTCAGAGCCATTGTTATTGGAGTGACATCGTGTCGACTATAAATGTATCATAATAAAAATAAATTATATAGCCTTACGATCATTCTGTAGCTTAGTGTATAAATGATATATGAAATTTATTAATTGATAGCGCATATGTATGGAATATCCGAGTGCATCTGCAGATAAGTACATGTTAATTTCATGCCATATACATATATATAAAGTAAATGTATTTAAAATAATAGAGATGATTTCGTATTTTGTGAAACTTTTAAAAATTTGTTTATAAACTTACCTCTGTTGAGCGCATTTAGTAATTTCTTGTGATAATCGTTTCATCATAAATCCGCCCTTTGTCTCTTGAGCCAAAATGTGAAGTAGAACTTGACTATAAACATAAGTATGTTGACCATGACATACCATTTTCTAAAAATATATAGTTTCATTAGAATGTACAAATATATTATGTAAAAGATATCTATCAAGTTTTACGAACGGCGCATTCTTGAATACTCGATTGCCAGTTTTCCGTATTTTGAAGAAACCCAGCAATAGCTGTTTTCAATACACGTGAAAAAACTTCAATTTGTTGAGCAGCAGTTGATATACTCGTAATTTCTCCTTGGAATCCAGCATCGGAAATAAGCTTTGAAAATATTTAACAATATATAAATATTGTGTACGCTCAAATCCAATAAACTAAGCTAAACTATCAAATACCTTTATTGTAAAATTTAACATTAAACAATCAGGATATTCTTCAGCAAGTCTATAAATAAGAGATCGCCAGGTCGGATGCTGAATCATTTCTGTTAACCACGCTGGTGTCTATAAATTCAAAAATCTTTCAATCGTATCAAATACCTAAATATTAAATAGCGCATACCTCTCCTTCTTCGGTAAAAATTTTATCAGCTTTTTTAGGATCAAAAGTTTTTAAAATCATGTCTTTTAAATTATTTTCTACCATGGCTTGTACGTCTGTTACTTTTACCCCTGCCAGGATAAGCCACTCTGCCAAAAGATTAGCTATCTGTGCGCAGGCTGTATAATTTTGTGATAATAATTCTATTACCGTTTCTGGATTACCTCCAGCTTGAAAGTACCTAAATACGTAAGTATTATAAACTACTTTTACAACAACTTCTGTATCGAGCTAATGATATATGTATGCACAAACGATAAAACCTTTTCAACTGTGTAAAGATACCAGGTTCCATGATATAATCTGGAGTTTTAAATTTATCAAGGCACTCCTGAAGAACTTGCTGAGGATTTTCTGATGGATCATCGCTATTAATATCGTCTCCTCGATTCATATCTTCCCAATTAGTATGCTCCTCCACAAAGCTGGGTTCCATCTACAAAATATGCAAACTCTCTCATCTATAAGATACAATAATTTAAATAATATATTCATTCTTAATACGTACTTATGTTATATTCCTTCCTTATTTATTCTATTTTTTTTGTTTTTGTTTTATATATATTTTATAAATGAAACAATTTATTAAGTTTTAATTTACAAATATTTACAAATTATATACTTAGCATTTATGATGTTTATATGAAAAAAGAAGGTTATGTTTGTTCCCTATATGTAGTCGTAAAAATCATAAAAATAAATTGCCTTGGAACATTCCTATATTGATAGTTTAAAAATCATGAACTTATATTGTTTTTCATGCAACTTTATTAACGATTCTCTAAATTAATATTTTACCAATATATCTACTATTTAACGATAAATCGTAATATGATTAGGCTTGTATTATCATTTAATCTGAATATAATAAAATGAATATAACTAAAATAAATAATTAACATACGTATGTAACGATAATTACAAAATTTATATTTGCACAGTAATAAAATATAAATACTGGACGAACGACACTTGTTCTAATTGGTTCCTCATAAATATATATCATATTAATCGAGTAATAATATATAATCAAAATATAATTGCAGCCAAGTAATTGCAATGTTCAATTATATTGGAACAAAAAAACAAAACAAAAAACAAAAAGAAAATTAGTCAATTAGTTTGCCAAGCTGTTAAACAAATGTAAATTTTCAAAGAATTATATTATACGTAGGCTTACATAATTTATAGATATACATAATTTACAAAATGATAACCGACATTATTATTTAAAATTTTCTACTAATTTCTAAATTGTACTAAAAAATAAAATAAAATAAAGGCAAAAAGTGCAAGTAAAAAATTATAGTTAAAGAAAAATTTAATATACATACTGATAGGCTACGAACGCTTTTTCAATTTTCTAATCTAATAAACACTACATAAACATAATATTATTTGATATTAAATCTTATCACGAGCTCATTAATAATTAATATTCAAATATAATTGAAAATGCACGATGTAATGATACTGTTTAGAAATTAAATTTAAAATTTGAATAATGAAACCATCTTTATTTAAAAACAACGCTACTACATTGATACAAAAAAGTTTTATAACTAATTCATTATACTATGTGATACAAATTTTTATAAAAATAGGGTTACGTTATAATTATGAGAAATTGTGAAAAAAATTGGCTTAAGAGTTACGTGATTTACACGGATGCTGCCTGCATACACCATAAAACTTTGATTGAAAAATTGTATTTGCGAGCGTGCAGGTATGGCATAATAATCAAAAAATGTTTTGTATAAAATATTTTATTCTTACATAACTACTTATACATAAAATAAAATAGATATCATGTATTGTTTATGGTAAGAATCGAGGTGGTAATCATAGTTAAAATTAATGACATTCTAGATATCTCTATTCACAGACAAATATGCTCTAATGAAAATTCTCGTCCAGTTGCTGAGTTTATTACACGATTTTTAACGAATAATTTATAAAGCATGTAAAAAAATCACATCTGTAATAAGAATTTTTAATAGAGTTATTAATATCGTTATCGTCGTCATAAAAATAACGAGTACAATCAAATCTTTGGCGTAGGAATATAAGTTAGAGCTGATAAACTATTATGCTAATGCAATCAGTCATTAATAAATTCATATTTACAGTAGTCCTTGAAAAAGGTACGATACATAAAAATTATAAATAGAAAAGACTAAAGAACAACAATGCAATCGAACATTTTGATTGCGGATCAAAAAATAGAATAATACATGTGATATTTTAACCGCTTCGTACAATCTTATTATTGAGATAATAATGCTTGAAAAATCATTATTAACGAAATAAAAAAAAACAAAAATAAAAAACAAAACAAAAAAAAAGAAAAAAAAAAGTCATATACTATTGTTATACATACATCTACATACAAATTAATGATTATTTTTTAAATAATCAAACTTTTCATATAATATGGCTATTACATTTCAATTATGTTAAACGTAAATATTTTATTTACTTTTTTGATTATTACTTATAATGGATCGATCGATAATATCTGCTTTTTTTTTACCTATTTATCTAATAATATCCATCAAAAAATATTAACAATCCAAATTAAAATAGCCTTTGACTATTGATAATTGAATGTGAAAGTCTCTTTCAAATGTCAATGGCCATTCGCTCATTTCTTAATGAATGAATGATCGAATACAATGAACAATTATTAACATCCCATAATATTACAAATTAATTTCTTTACACTTTCAGTTTTGATAATTGCTAATACCATATGTCCTGAATACTCGCTGAAAATTGTTGTTACCAAATCTTATATTTGGCTGCGTAATATGTTTTATTATTTTTAACGAATTTTCAATTTAATTATACTTTCTCGTACGAGGCTTTGCGCTATGTTACATAGTAATGATAAAAATATATTCAAGTCATCCAAATTACAGATTTAACTGAACTAGTATTTCCATTAATCAGGCATGCGTGTAACTTTTTTTATCCACTGCTCATACATTACTCTCTTCTTCTTTTTTTTTCGCTTCGATGACTAACTTTATACAAACACTTTGTTGAACAATGAAATACGTGTCTTAAAAACTACATTTAAGTACAATGAATGTCAGATGAGCTCGTATTTTAAACGATAATAACCCTTAGTCTTTACAATTTAAACGCTATTTAGTTAACAAATTATGCAATTGCTATCATAAAATGTAAAATACATAATCGCCATCGCAAATATTTGATTATCTGCATTTTAAATAGGATTAATTAGCGAGTTAACGGATAATTTGATAAATTTATCTGTCACTGGCATTGGCGAACATTATCATTATATTTAATAAATATATCAACGATATCATAGATTACTACTTTCAATATATGAACGAAGAATTAACGACGCTCGGTAATTGTCAGATTGGATAAAATGTTTCGGACAAAATTGCATGTTAAAATACACGAAACTCTCGTAGTCCTCGACAACTGCAACAATGATAATTCGAAAAATAAATAGAAAGCGTAGGGAGTCATCGTAAATGTAAACTCTCTGTCATCGAGGGCGATCATTTGTAGTTAAAGGTAAGAGGAAAGCCGAAGCGTTCGATCGGCTTACGTGATTGATCGACACCGTTATTGTCGCTAAATGAAAAAGCTTATACAACTCCACCGCTTTATTTATCGGACTCCTCGTCAACGATTATTTATCCCTACAGGCACTGCTGCTTCCTTTGTACAGACAGCTCCGTCGAGGCCACGGCCATCCACTGGTTGATATCCGAGCGGTACCAGGTCAGTCCGAGTGAGTACCTGCCATTGAGGTTCGCGTGCTGGCAATGACTGAACCACCAGCCTCCGTGGTAATTGGCTGCGCAGTCGGTCGTGCTGATATCCATGTCCCTGTCTTTGGCGCTGAAGGCCATATTGTTCTGGTAGGACATAGCGTCGGTGGCGTTGCCGCTGAAGCCGGATATCCTCAGCCGGTAGCCGTTCTCCTCGGATTCGACGGCGAAGCTCTCGTAATTGGCGATCCAGTAGTTGCCCTCGATGTCGTTGAGCTCGATCCTGAGCCGCGTGCAGTTGTCGCGGCTGAGCCGGTGGAGTGCCTCGTTCCCGGCCCAGAACTCGTTAATGGGCGAGCCGAAGCCCGTCGCGTAGTCGTTCCAACTGCGATCGAAGTCGACGGTGCCGTCGGTCCTCCGCCCGATTACGATCCAGCCCTTTCTGCAGGCGGCGAGGAGGGGAGCCCCGGGTCCCGGAGCCAACAAGCTCAGCCCGTCGCGCTTCTCGCAGTTACCGGGTAGCGCGTCGACCATCAGTCGGTACTCGTCCTCCACGTGCTCGAGTTCGCGGGTCGCGTTCGCCGCCCTGGCGATGCTACCGGCGAGGTCGAGCCTGCCGACGCTCTCGTTTAGACGGCCGATCGCCGACTGCTGGCCGTCGCTCTTCTCCTGGAGCTTCGAGGCGCTCACGCTCAAGGCCTGAACGGCACGCTTCAGATTCCCAAGCTCCTCACGAGTAAGCGAGAGCTCGGCGGCCTTGCGGGCCGCGTTCACGTCGAGACGCGCGAGCTCGCGCTTCGTCTCGGACTGGTTGCTAAGGAGCCGCTCCTCGAGGGCCTCCAGTGACTCGAACATCCGCACCGCCGACTCGCCGAAACGGCTCGACGCCGCGGACTCCTCGCTCACGTTGCGCAAGCGCTCGGTGAGGTCGCGGCCCAGCTCCTCGAGAATACGTACCCGCTTCGAGACGTTTTCCCTGTAGGCGAGTCGCTTTTCCAAAAGTGCTCGCTTTCGCGATACGACGCCGATCTTATGCTCGAGCTTGTTAACGCGCTCGTCGAGACGGTGGACCGTAGCCGGGAGGCGGGAATAGACGTGGCGCGTCTGGTGCAGGAGAAGCTGCTGCTGACGATCACCGCGTACGTCGTCGCCCTCGATTTGCCGCTGGCCAATCTCATTTTTCAGGAGAGAAGAGTCGTCGAGCTTTGTATTTCTACTGGGTCTGCACTCCTCGCACTTGATCGACTTAACCTCGATCTGCATGGTACTCAGCTGCAAAAAGCAAAATTAAGTCCTCGTTATTTTCTAGACCGTTGCTCCATGACGAATATTTCAATTACACGCGGACACGAAAGTCAAGAGCACTGATTGTTTCGGTATACGTAGCTTCGTGCTTCCCGAAATGCCATTATAAATAATTACACCAGAATTACGACCATACGCACGAATGCCGGATAATTTATTTTCTAGCTTCGATTGAATTATGATTTATCGTTTGGTATCGTTCACTCGTAAACAATTTATCAATCATAATGGACTATTTAAAATTGCCTTCTTTCACACGAGCCCCTCGCAATTACGTCTTATTATCGCGTGCGAGTCTTTTTAAAGCTGTCGATTATTTAATAAGTTACTGAGAGACAGAGAGAGACAGAGACAGAGAGAGACAGAGAGAGAGAGAGAGACAGAGAGAGCCATTTAAAGTTATCGTTGATTTTCTTCCGGCGACATCTGAATGACCGAATATTATTATTAAAGAAGGGTAGGGTACGGATTATTTATTCTGTATTTAAAAATAGTTACTCTTCCCATGTACGCGACTCAAGCTCTGCGCGGGAAAGATAATCGTTTCATCGATCGATTAACTTATTCAAGCGCGGGAAACTCGTTTCCTTTTTTTTTCTCCACTTTCTTACCCTCTATTGAACTTGTCAAGCGCACGTATAGAAGTATAGAGCCATATGAATAAATAAAAGAATCTATTTAAAAGTTACCACATTGTGCTAAATTTTTGTATTATATATTTTTTATTTTTTAGTTTCCGCCTTCCTTTTTATTCACAAAATCTGCTTCATGTATGGATTTTATGCTTTGTCATAAAATCGCAATTAATATTTGATTATCATTTTGTCTGAAAAGAGTCATTTCCATTATAAATATTTGAACCACACTATTATATATAGGAAATTTAAATTAAGATTCAAATGTGGTATATAATTTACATATAAATGTTTACAAATACCCATTTAATTAATAGTTAATCGCAATTAAAGTGGCCTTTTTCGAAAAATGCAAAAAAAAATAAAAAAAAAAAAAAAAAAAACAGGTAAAAATGAATGAATAAAATGCTAATCGTCTAGGCACACTGTGTTTTGGAAAATTTGATAACAATAAGAAATTTTACTTAAAAGTTGACGAGATAAAAGACAATTCTTTCTGAGTTTCAACATTTTCGACTTTTATTATAACGTATGTACGTTAAAACGTATAAATAATGGACATAGCACTTTTCCACCGAAAGAGACTGCTTTCTCTCAATAAAATAACGAAAAATTCGATTTTCTATTTTTGATGCTATAATACACGGTCGTTCGAACGGTTCGTATAAAAATAAAAAAGAATTCTTTGCAGAAAAAAAGTTGTTCTATTGTAGGATAGATTTTTATTTTTAAAAATCTCGTGTAAAAGTTCATGATGAAGTTCATGTATATATTAAAGTACGCTACATTTTTTGTATAAATTTTAGCAAGTTTTTACATTTTAGCTCGAATAATAATTTAAATCTAATTATTCGAAAATGTGTTGATATTATAAAGTTTCAAATTAATGCATCGTATGTATGGAGTTGCGACATGATGCAACTTTTATAATTAAAATTGTTGAAAATGAAGAAAAGATGGCAATGAAAATTTATACATTATTAATTATTAAGATAAAAAAATTTCAGTTCCCATTAAAATCTTCGATATAACTATTATCGCAAAACAATTGTATAAGAAGTTGCTTAATGAATTTATATATATATATATATATATATATATATATATATATATATATATTTTTTTTTTTTTTTTTTTATCTTTACAAAAAATTTCTTTTTTTTTTTTTTTATACGACAATGAAATATTGTTCGCCTTCGAATTTTCATCACATTATGAAATTGCTTAAAATTAAAAATTAAAAATGCTCGCTAACCTACGAGAAAAGCATAAAAATTTGTTTATATTCGATCGAACGTGAAATCAAAAATAAAAGTAATCGTAGAGAAGGAAAGGCAAAAACTTGCCGTTTTACGTGTATTACGTAAGGGCAGGCATACGTTGCTCAACCATCGTGAGGTTTTTTTATACTCCGAAGAAACCATCCTTACTGAAAATGTGGACGAGGATTGGAGTGGGAATGGGCGGAGGTGGAGGAAGAGGAGGTAATCATAACGCTCGCGCACACGAACACAGAAGGGCAGGTGCTTCGTGAGGTGAATGAAGCGGAGATGAAAAGAGAGGCCAGTGATGTAGTTATACGTACGCGAGGAGGAGGAGGAGGAGGAGGAGGAGGTGGTGGTGGAGAAAGAAGGGGGAGGAAAGAAGAAGCGGCGGTATTGCTGTGACGGTGATGCTTGACGATATTAACGACAGATGGACGGGTACTCGCGTCGTTCTTCGATTATACGCGAATGCAATTGTCATTCTAAATATAACGGCCAATTGCCGTTCGCTTAGAATTCGCGTCCAAAGTAACTAGTGTGGTACTTAGCACAAGTGCGATACAAGTGGCTGTGGTGCGCGGCACTACACTTGTATTGCACTTGATAAAGATGAAATGGTAGCGATGAAAATGTCTATACAAGTATATTAATGTTGTTAAGGCTAAATCATAATAGATGAGCGTTTCAACGTATGAAAAGTGAAAAAGTTATGAAAAGATATTGATTGAGTGCATTAAGCGCATTTTATACAGCAGATGTTGATCGACGTTGCTTTAACCAGCTGTGAATGCGACAACTGCCCAATGAAAGAACATAAAAATTATGAAAAATGTACAGCTGTTTAAAATTGCCGACCTATACATATGTAGAGAGCCAGACACGCGATTCGTGTTCTCGCGTAATAAACGGACTTTTAGCATTGATAATAAAACTTTCAATTAAAAACTTTTGAATATGCGCAAATGTAAAATGTAAAATGTTTACGCGATACTTTAATTACTAAGAAAATTTATTATTTCGTTTGTTTATTTGCTTTTGTTTTACTTTGCTTCCTTTTTCATTACATAAAGCCAGAGAAGACTTGCTGAAGGGATGGCCAAGGGAAATAAAATATATAATAAGTTGGATAAATGCTATTATATGGTTGTTTTCAATGCTAAGTTTCCTCTTCATTAATGATAATTGCCATCTAAGTGATGCCACTTAAAACACTTGCGATACTGCTTTTCTTTAAAAGAAAAATACGTTATGAGATTAAAAAGTGACTAAAATGTAAGAGTAACCTTACGACATAATTTTATCCGCGAACTGTTACTAAAAATATTTGAATTTTAATGTACTTTTTATGGTAAAAATATAAGTGTGATTATCAATAAAGTGAAATAAGAGTAGCTAATTTTATTTTTTGATTGCAATTTATGCTACATTCATGTATAAAGCAACATTTTTATGGCTTCAATATGCGTTAGTTGCAAATTTCTTTAATCATTAATTTTCTTCCTGCCTTTCTTTTTATCTTTCCATATTATTGTTATTATTATTATTATTATTATTATTATTATTATTATTATTATTATTATTATTATTATTATTATTATTACTTTTTCGTTTATCTTTATTTCGTCGTTAATTTGTTTTTATTTTTATTAACTGACTAATTATCTATATTCAAAGATCGAAGAATTACTTGTAATTTATTAAAATTTCATTATAATCTTATGAATACCGATTTACTTGCTGTTAATTAAATGTACAGGTTAATTTAATTTACGAGCGCTATTAGTATTACAGAAATTTTTTTAAAATCCTCTCTCGTAAAATTGCACGTGCAAATTTTTTAAGATCACAATATCATCTCTGCCATACACATGAAACTGTACAAATTTCAATTTCTCTTTCAATGTTTAACTTTTTTGAAATAAATGCTTGCAAACACCAAATAATGTCGTCAAAATAGCCGACACGTAGAGTATTTAATTAAACTAAAGTATCTTTCACCATAATAATACCGTAAATGTCCGTTTCTGCTTACCGTTACTGCACTCCAAGTTTTTTTTTTTTTTTTTTACATCAAATTAGAGACGTTTTGAATGAGAGGCTATAAAAGAATCGAAAGTAAAAAAGAATATGGCATGGGGTGAAAGCCGGCAAAAGTCATCAGCCAAAGACGGTAAGGCAAGCGCAAGAGAGGCGAAGAGAGAGAGAGAGAGAGAGAGAGAGAGAGAGATAGAGAGAGAGAACGAGTGCGAGCAAGTACCGCGCGATGAGGGCGGGTGGAGTGAGTAGTGAGTGGGTAGTAGGCTGGAGGAAGTGGCGGTGGGGGTGGGTTACAGAGGTGGGCGTGAGAAATTATTGTTATGATATTAAACATTACATTTCGTATAATCGTTCAAAACCGAATAAATATGTAATAACAAATACTGTTTATAAGTATCACAATATTAGCTTTGTAACTTATTCATTGATTATATATTTGGATCCTCATAACTGAATTATCAAATTGCTTTGTCTTTAAAAGTTATTTAAAAAAATTTATATTGTCATTCGTAAAAATTATTGGTTTTTTGGAAACATCAAATTATCCATCGCATGAACTTTAATAATTAATTATACGTCTTCATTAATTTAGCTACCAATCTTACCAGAGAATTATAATAATTGACAATTTAGAAAAGTATTATTACAGCAACATTATTATAACAAATAAAATTTATAACGCAAGGCAAGATATTATGTATGATATAGGGGGGGGGGGGGGGGGGGGGGGGGGGTATAGGAGCGGTAGGAGTAAGGGTGAGAGGAAACGAGAATGTAAAGGAGAATAGAGTGAAATTTGCGTGAAGGGCAGGAGCGCGGCGTGAGCAAGGAGGCGGGACAAATGGTAGAGAAACGCAATAAAGGAAACGCAGCTGCCGCCACTTCTTCGAACGCGAATAGAAACCGAATTTTTCTCTCCCCGTGTGCTTTCGAACGTCGCCCGATCTTTGTGTATTCGCCTAGTGGCGGAGCGAAGAACTCGTTAAGCAAGAATGGTAGGGCGCACGACAGGAGTGCAGCCGATTTTTCGGGACGTCGCACTCTCGGCCCCTTCCCGCCCACCCATTATCGCGACGCCTTATTATCGCCGGGGGACGCGCGACGCCTTAATTAAGGCCGGCAATATTTTTTTTAATACGCGTTGCCCGCGAATCTCGGATTCGAGCGTGCGGGAGCTCGCCTCTATTATCGAGATGACTCGTTAAGATTAGCCAACTCGGAATCCTCAATCGAGATTATAAAGTAGCCGATTTAATTATGGGCAGGATTCCAGCGATTGTTGGACGCGTGGAACGAAGTACCGGACAGGCCCTCGTGATTTCAGACCCAGTCGACTTATTAATATGGTCGAGCCAAGAAGGCCAATTTAAAATGTCGAGGAGCAGGTGCGGAGGGGAGGGGGGGGGATAGGAGAGACCGAGCCGAGCGAAGGAAAATGAAATTCCATCGGCGGAATGTGTAAATTTATCCCCTTCGCGGATAAAAGTTTTATCGGACGCCGAGAAAATTTCGCGGGACACCGACTTATCCTTCGCAGCATTCCAAATTATAAGCGAATTAACGTGTGCCAGGAATCCCGAGGCACTTTTCACCGGCGGCCGTTGCGTCGCTTCACGGCTGCGAGGGAGAAACAGAAAGAAGACGAAGAGACGCCCAATCTAAGGAATTCCGGCGCACTGGGTTCGCCAGTGATCCCTTAATAAGAGCGGTGCCTGAGCCAAATGAAAATAAGAAGAGAGACTGGGACCTGGGCGCGTATTCGCAAAAACCGGAGGTCCAAAGGGGCAAAGGGAGCAAGAAAAGCAGGAATACATACATACCACGCGTGGCGGAGCGGACGCGTGATCGAGCGCAAAAATTAAGGCGTGCGCGGGTACCCACACACACACACACACACACACACACACATACACACACATACACACATAGAGACAAACATTGGAGTGGATTAACAGAAAGAGAGAGAGGGAGGGAGAGAGAGAGAGAGAGAGAGAGAGAGAGAGAAAGAGGAGAAAGAAGAAAAAGAGTCGGAGCCGCGCGGCAGCTGCTGTCCGGTAAATAGACGGCGCATTTTCAGGCGGTTACGGCGCGTGCGGGCGCCTTCTGGCTTCGCAGGTGCAAGAGCTCCGGCCCTCATGTAAATTAAGGATAAGAGAGGACCGCTGGATCATCGCGCGCGTACATCCCCCCCCCCCCACCCGGCCCCGCCCGGCCCCCCCCCCCCCCCCG